ATGGGTCGCTACGACTCACGCATTCATTCCTTTTCGGTGCTTTTCTTCTTTTTTCGGCGAAACTTCCTTTTGTGCAAGATTGCGCCCACAAGCATGTCACACGAAGCGCTCAGACATCGTTTAGGCGTCATTAGATCCCTTCTGCCTTGACTCGCGATGAGTCTTGACCTCATTCCAATGAAAAACTTTTTAGGGAGTTCCAGGTGAGAAAGATGTGCACCAGAGATTACCAATCCGGTCCAGGTTTACTGAAGGCTCATCGGCAATCTTCACGCAAGCAAAAAACCGCAACTTCCAAACTAGCACTGTCAAAATTATTGTTTTGTTGAGTGGATGCATTTTTGTACCTAAAAGGGCCAGTGAGACTTTTTCAAGAAAACGAAGATAAAAACATAGCTTTTCTCAAGTACTTGAAATTCGGTGTATGTATTATGCAAATTTCGATTACTACTTGTCACAACTTCCACTTCCAGCTTTCTCAAAAACAGCAAGAGTTACGCGGATTTGGGGCCATTCATGGGTGGAAGCGTATCTATACGGAGAAGTTAGGTGAGAATCAAATAAACTTACCATGTTCCGTCTAAGTGCTGGTCAGTCTTGACGAATTGCATAGAGACGATACGACCGTTCTTCACGTTCACGGCCTTTGGAGAGCAGTAAGGCATAAATTCACACCGTTCCTCTCGAGCCGCTTCCATCTGCATCAGAATATCAAACAATTCAGAGTAGATTCGCTTTCTGCTCACCCAGTCGTTACTTTCTTAACTTTTTTTCTGACTTCACAAAATCTATGATGAAATATGAAAGTTTTCACTTAATGTATCACTTCGCATCGAAACTACTTTTCGTATTGATTTTTTACCAAAAGGACGTAGGAGGAGAAATAAATAGGTACGGTAAGTAATACGAAGAGGAAGAGGAAAACATAAGTCGTTGAAGAGAGTTACGAATTGATGGCACTAGTAACGTAATCTCGGTTTTGATGCAGGTGCTCCCAAATAGAGGTGAAGTAAAATACTGCTACTAATTCGTAGTCAACCGAAGGTTTCGAACGGATCAATCCGTTTGCAACAGATTAATCCATCGCAGACGTCGCTTTGCCATAACATTTGTTGTAGCTTTCCAGTTGAAGCTCAGCTCGTGAATAATTCTGACAAATATATTATGTTTTCGATTTTTCTAGATTTTTTTGCCTTTATTTTCAGGAATAATGAAAATTGACTCTCATAGGACCCAGGTTGTTACGTGCGGATAAAATGGCTTCGTGAACCCTTCAATTAATCCGTCAAGATGACAAAGGAAATTCATCTTAGTTTTGTTAATGACGAATCCCAATCAGGCCTTGCCAATGTTCTTCCTAGTCCCGCTGGCTTTGGCTATAACTGCTACTATTCTCTCTTCCGGTGTTTCTTTATCGCTTTTCTGTACAACTATGCAGCTTCAGACATTAGTTGATGATTGTCTGTAGCCTGCGCGATTTCATGCTGACGTATCAGCTCGAGAGCCTTTAAATAAAGTCGTTTCTTGATGACTTGCAGTCTCTTTGCTTTCATCGCGCTATTGTGAACTTGTTCCGGTTTTAGGTGTCGCCGATCATGAAATCTTTTCGTAAGCTCGCAAGGGTTGCGATATTTTCCCAATTGATAGCGGTTTCGGAGCCGTTTTCTGAACTTCGTAGCTCTCTTTCTCCACACACTGAGAAACAATCTAGTCCGATGGAGATAACGAGTCAATCCCGTGTAGATGTCTAGAACAACAATATTGGTTAGGCAAAACTGTCGACTGAAGACGAGTGATGTATTTCATTACGGAACTGTCCGCCAGTCCATTGCAAGTGAGAGGGCTTCTGGAACTGCGGGTTATCATATAGTGCGGGTCAACATGATGAACTCAACCAGCATCACACCCTGCTCATTCCTTTCCGTTCCGTGAGTCCCGATATGTAGCTCTTCAGCTGTCCTTCTAAGCCCAAAACAGGCCTTGCAAAAACGAAGTCTTCTATGTAGAGCAGTCGGAGATAGTCAAAGCTAGGGTTGAGCCACCGGAAACGTCCGATTCGAGTTTTCAGCATTCGTAAGAGTCGCTTTTCATGACCAACGTTACTTTTTCCTAGAGAGAGATCGGTCCACTATTTCTCTCCTTCTTAAATCAGTAAACACTTCTTCTTTCTCGGGTAACGTTCGATCGTCGATGAAACTTGGAGCACACATCTCACGCGGCATAGCTCACTGCGATTTGAGAATGGCCATGTTTGAATCGTGGGTTTTGCAGTTTAAATCATTCTACGGCGCGGAGGTACATGAATGCGGCTTGGATTGTGCCATTGAAAAATGAATAAGAACTGAATGTAGAACAAGCTTTGCCATGTAGAAGGTAGAGGAATTAGAAAATGAAGCAGTAAGACGGTGAGATAAAGACGATTCCCCGTTAGAAACGTGCAGAACCGCTGCAGCAGTGGTGCTGAATTCAAACGTCCGCGTGCGGGAAAATAATTCAAACCGCAAGACCCTTGAACGAATTAGAGGTGTCAATCTCGATATCGCAAAAGTCTGCACCGTGCAAGACGTGGACAGGGTGACCAATCCCCATCGACGTTGTGAAAGAAATGCTCCCTTCTCTCTCATGCACACAGAAGGGTTTGGAAACCCATTTTTGCAGCGCCTATCCTGTTCAGAGCTACTTCGTTAGAATAACTTGCTCTCCAAAGCGTGCAGATATCACTGTACAGACTTCAAGTACTTACTAATATCAGTTTCGCAAGTTTCTTGTTAATTCGGCAAAAAGAGCACTATGTATACACAGTTTGTACATAAAACTCTCCATTCCAGTAACCTATATTTGAGCAAGAGGTACTGTTATTACAACTATTATTGCAACAGAGGTGGGTTTGCGGGCATCCTACATACGATATTCCTTATTGATAAATCACCACCTAAAATCTACATGAACAGAAAGAGAAGATAACATTCCAAAGCGAGTTTTTTTAAAGGCACAGTTCGCGATAATTCAATGGGCGGGCACGTCAATGACGTGTCCTCCTCTCATTCGACGCCACATCAGGCTGTCTGACATGACTTCGAATGAGAGGCGGACACGTCATTGACACACCCGCCCATTGAATCATAGCGAACCGTGCCTTTAATGGAAATAATTTAAAATAAATAGGAACTCAATTTCTTGAACGCCTAACAATCACCTCTTCTGGTACGGCACGTATACCAGTAAATCCTTTACGAAATACCACAGTGACTCTAGAAGCACCACATCGAAGAGCCGATGTAGCACAGTCGAAAGCCGTATCTCCTGGAAGTGAGTAACTTATAACTGTAACAAGTTATAACTAACCGGGTATACTATTGCATCATTTGATTAGTCCCAACTAGTATTCCGTATACTTTTAATATATCACCAACCTCATGATTAAATGATTCCCCTCTCTCAAAATATAATATAGTTCACCGTTCTGAGTACAACCTTTACACCTTTCTCAGTGTGCTGTCTTCGCACTTACCCGCTCCAAGTACAATGACACGCCCCTTCAGGTGAGGAAGGGATTTTTTCGAGCATCCGCACATCCCTGAAAGTTCGCTTTTGAAAGGAGGCCATATTTCTTTGGGTTTTGGGAGAAAAAATATATAATACCCGGTTTACTAGCAGCAGCAACCATTGGCAAAAAGTCTTTGCTGGTGAAGAATCCATGACTTTGCGTGAGACCTTGGAAAACATCTATTTTCTTCGGTTCCGGCATGCCAATACCAATGAACACCGCTTTCACTCCCGAATCCTCAACACAGGAATTACATATATGCAATTATACATGGCAACCCTAAGAACCAGTAAGTTTACGCAACCACCGCTTATTTTTGCCAATACGGGAACAGCTCTCCCTTCAAAGGAGGCCGTATAAACAACTCTGTTCAGAACAAAGCCAGATATAGGTATCCTGTTTGCGATCGACCGGGTCCGAGCAATTTCACAGCGATCAAATGAGCCTTACCTAATTTAGGAAGAAATGTAACGTCGAAGTTTCATTTCGGATAGGAATCGCACATATAAACGTTGAATCTGCTTTCCATTTACTAAGAAAGCAATGCATCTGTACTTTCAATGTGCTAATTTTTACGTTGATATCCTGCTGGTCCTTGCTTGATATACCCTCCATCCCAAACGATTAACTGTATGACTCTCCATGCTTCATATTGCCAAGAGACCTGTCACCGCTGCTAGAAGGATGTGGTGCACTAGGAACGGAATGGTCGCGTCGCGGTGAGAGG